AAGAATTGATGCCTTTGAATTGTGGTGCTGGAGGAGGCTCTTGAGAGTCCCCTGGACTGCAAGGAGAACAAACCTATCCATTTTGAAGGAAATCAACCCTGAGTGCTCACTGGAAGGACAGATCCTGAAGCTGAGGCTCCAGTACTTTGGCCATCTCATGAGAAGAGAAGACTCCTTGGAAAAGACCTTGATGTTGGGAAAGTTTGAGGGCAAGAGGAGAAGGGGACGATGAAGGACGAGATGGTTGGACAGTGTCTGCAAAGCAACCAACATGAATTTGACACAACTGCGGGAGGCAGTGGAAGATAGGAGGGCCTGGCGTGCTCTGGTCCATGGGGTCACGAAGAGTCGGACACGACTAAACGACTAAACAACGATGACTAATCTAATGAATACATTAAAGACTGTGAAGAACCTGTTTAAGTAAACTGTAATCAATAAACTTGTGTTGTTCAACTTTCTTCTCAGGTTGGACCTCAATCTTTCTAATTAAAGGGTGTTGATTGGTGACAGTGTAAAGGAGAGAACATGTTGTGGGCCTCAGGCTAGTGAAACAACCTGGGGACACGTGAGGGGAGAGTCACAATTGGTGTCAGCTTGTCGGATACGTAGCGTGAGCCCTTTGTTTGGTGAAACGAACAGGGACCACGTGATAAATGTCACAATATGTTAATAAATAGCAGTGGACACAGGTAACATCAAGGGAATGTATGACAGTATCAAGCAGGCTTTAGGTCCAATACAGAAAAAATCTGCTCCCTTGAAGTCTGCTACAAGTGTGATCATCCAGGACCGACCACAACAGATGGAATGCTGGATGCAGCACTATGAGCTATATTCCAGAGAGAATGTAGTAACCGAAGAAGTATTAAATAACATTGAGTGCCTTCCTGTCTTGGAAGAGCTGGACAGCGAACCAACTTTAGCAGAAATAAAAGCAGCCTTGGATTCGCTTGCCTCCAGCAAGGCACCTGGGAAGGATAACATCCCTGTTGAAGTGCTGTAAAGAGACCATCACCACTGAGCTGCATGAAATCTTTTCTCTCTACTGGAGGTAAGGTGAAGTACCACAGTACATGAAGGATGCAAGCATCGTCACATTGTACAAGAACAAAGGAGACAGGGGCGACTGTAGTAACCATTATCCAGAGGCAACTTGAGGGCACAACCACCACCACCAGAACCAAGCTCAGGCTCACTAATCTTTTCACAGAAAAAGGCACTCCAGGTTGCCCCAAAACGCCTTCATTACAACATTCATTTATCAGTCCTAAAAGTGGCAAAATAAGTGTTTGGTTTCTCCTTGTGCGTCGTCGTCGTCCCCCCGCCCCATTTTCAAGGTATAACAGCAGAATTGGCCAGTAAAGGAAATATTTCTCTGTATTTTCTACCCACTAGTTACGGTGAGGGCAATGCGCTAATACTGACATTGTAACACACAGTATTCTTCTTTTTATGAAATGAGGAACCATGAGAATAACAATCCTTGGAGTGCCCCTCAGAAACGACGAGTAATGCCACATTCACCTTACAAAAAATAAATTCCAAGTTTTGTATGTGCATAAAGTGCCTCGTTCTGCCTAATGGCAGACCCACCGCTACTTATTCATTGCAATACTGTACTTGATTTCATAGACACATACTATAATGTACATTTTAAAAGGCCTTCTTTTTCTTCTATTTTTACGGGACGGACGACACCATATTTCCTGCCGGGATTTCCCTGTTGCCTCTGATCCTGCAGCTGTCCCTCTGAGCTGGCTACCAGGAGAAGGCGTCAGAAGTAACCAGGAAGACACACACCCCACCTTGCGGGCCGGCTAAAAGACGCGCCGTTCCCGCCGCCACTTTTCCGTATCCCGCCGTCCTCAAGGAAAGCGCGAAACCCGCGAAGGGTGCCATTTTAAGGGCGCGGGGGGCGGACCCTCCGGAGGGGCGGCCGACTGGGGAAGCCAGGGGGCGTGGGCATAGATTGCCTTGCCCAACTTGCTAGGCCCGTCCTGTCGCCGCCGCCGCCTCCTCCTCTTCCTTCCTTCCTTCCTTCTCCTCCTCCTGCTCCGGGACGCGGACTCTGCCCTTTGCCTGGCCGCCAGCGATGGAGCGCTTCTCGGGCCGTCGGGCTCTCGTGACCGGGGCAGGCAAAGGTACCGGTCCGGGAGCGCGGCGTTTGGCGGCACTGCGGGCGCAGGGAACGGGCGCCTCCTGCGCTCTTTTCCTGGACATGTCGTTTCTTTCCCCTTTGCAGGGATCGGCCGGGCTGTCGCGGTCGCACTGAGCCGTGCGGGGGCCCAGGTGGTCGCGCTGAGCCGGACCCAGGCGGATCTCGATGACCTGAGAAAGGAGGTAGAGCCTGGAGCCAGACCACCCTTTCTCCCTAGAATCTCCACCGGCCTGATAATCCTCTCTGCGTCACATTGTACAAGAGTTGTTGTTGTTGTTTAGTCGTTAAGTCGTGTCCGAGTCTTAGTGACCCCATGGACCAGAGCATGCCAGGCCCTCCTGTCTTCCACTGCCTCCCGGAGTTGGGTCAGATTCATGTTGGTCGCTTCGCAGACACTGTCCAGCCATCTCGTCCTCTGTCGTCCCCTTCTCCTCTTGCCTTCACACTTTCCTAACACCTCCTGAGATGGCCAAAGTATTGGAGCCTCAGCTTCAGGATCTGTCTTTCCACTGAGCACTCAGGGTCGATTTCCTTTAGAATGGATAGATTTGTTCTCCTTGCAGTCCAGGGGACTCTCAAGAGTCTCCTCCAGCACCACAATTCAAAAGCGTCAATTCTTCGGTGGTCTGCTTTATGGTCCAGCTCTCACTTCCATACATTGCTACTGGATAAACCATAGCTTTGACTATGTGGACCTTTGTCGGCAAGGTGATGTCTCTGCTTTTTAAGATGCTGTCAAGGTTTGTCATCGCTTTCCTCCCAAGAAGCAGGCATCTTTTAATTTCGTGGCTGCTGTCTCCATCTGCAATGATCATGGAGCCCAAGAAAGTAAAATCTGTCACTGCCTTCATATCTTGCCCTTCTATTTGCCAGGAGGTGATGGGACCAGCGGCCATGATCTTGGGGTTTTTTTTTTTATGTTCAGCTTCAGACCATTTTTGCGCTCTCCTCTTTCACCCTCATTAAGAACAGAATGGTGGTCAAGTTAGATCACTGGGCAAGCTGGTCTTCCTATGACCCACATAACCCAAATCTCCTGACTGCTCCAATCCACATGACTTCCTAATTGATACTGCTGAAGCCTGCCTTGGAGGATTTTGAGCATAACCTTGCTAGCGTGTGAAATGAGTGCAATTGTACTGTAGTTGGAGCATTCTTTGGCACTGCCCTTCCTTGGGATTGGGACACAGACTGATCTTTTCCAATACTCCCACCTTTTTCCTGACCCTAAACATGGAGGGAGAAGGCAATCCATGGCTACTAACCCTGATGGCCATATGCTCACCCACCCACCCACGCACCTACCCAGCTTCAGAGGCAGCACACTTGTCTTGGCCACTGGTGTGGCAAGGGAGCAGCAGCGGGAAAGCGGGCCTGCTGTCCTCATGTGCTCATTATGAGAGGTATCTGGTCAGGGACAGAGGAGCTCATGCAAAAATTATCTGCAGGTATGCTTAGGAAATAAACTGTACCTGAAACCTGTAGGGCTCCTGCCAGTCAGAGTTGATCTTACAAGACCAAGAGAGTGGCTGTAAGGCAGGGTCCTCTGACCCTCAGGAAGAACAGAATGGTGGTCAAGTTAAATCACGGGGCAAGCTGGTCTTCCTATGACCCACATAACCCAAATCTCCTGACTGCTCAAATCCACATGACTTCCTAATTGATCTAGCTGGACCTCCACCCAAAGAGACTCTAGATAGCAAAATGGTTGAGGTATCTGGCTACAGAGCCATAGGTTGAGCATTCAATTTCCCACTGTGACTCTTGACAAGGGCTGGACTTGATGATCCATAGGGTCCATTCCAGCTCTGCAGTTCTAAGATTATGATGAGACTACGTATGTACAAAGATCCTTAGAAAATCATATATGGAATTGTCAGATTCTCAAGATGGCTAGAAATACTAACTTTCCACTCCCCTTTAATACATTTCTTATGGGGGTGCGTTTAACAGCTATATGATAAGCAGAAAAACAGTGTAACATGCTTTTTTCCCTCCTCCTCAGCATGGAGATGCAATGGAAGGATAAGCTACCTCTGGTGAATTTTCACCATCATGCCTGTATTAAAGAGCAGCTTTGCTAGGGAGGAAAACATGGCGACCCTGGCTATGACTCTCATTTAGTCACTACAACAGAAGTCACATTTTAGAAAATTGGGCTCTTTGCAATTCTTGTAATTATTTTCACGGATGACACTGAAAACATCTTTAAGCCTCTCTGGTACCTTTTATGTGATGTGCAGTTATTAATCCTGCAAGCTACAAAATGGAAGAGAACATTTCTGAAGGCAAAGGCTCATTCGCATCAGTGTAACCCTCATATTCTCACTAAAGATACAGGCAGTTAAAAACACACACATTCAGTTCTCAAAAATATGTTTCGGGTGTTCTGTGGAAGCATCTTTTCAAGAACTGCCAGGTGATAAAGTTAGTCTTAAACTAGCAATTAACTAGGTTAAAGGTACTACACACCGTGAACCTGTTGTCTGAAATTGCACACTTCATGTGGTCAAGCAATCCCAATTCCCTTTCCATTCTACTAGCTTCCCCTCGGGGTTTTCCCCCACTCAAATGTTGTTTATTCCCTCCTCAGTGCCCTAACATCCAGACCCTGTGTGTAGACCTAGGAGACTGGAATGCTACGGAGGCAGCACTGAGCCAAGTGGGGGATATTGACCTGCTGGTGAATAATGCCGCTGTAGCCCTGTTGCAGCCATTTCTAGAGGTGACCAAGGATGCCTTTGACAGGTAATCCCTGACATAAACCTAAAGGTGGGCGTTGTGGTCTGTAACAGACAGTGATGACGAGTGTTTCATATCATAAACTGCTACATGCTTGTGTACCTTGATTCTGAATCTCGGCCCTAGTGGCCTGTTGTATTCCATCTTGAAAGTGAAGTGTTCGAAAATGTTTATCTTAGATTGAATTAATCATGAATATGATAACGGCAGCCAGATTAGGGATTGTGAGACACTGGAAACTGAAGCATTTGTTTTTATTAACTGAATGGAATAATGAAGTTTGAAAAACATCAATTAATGGTAAGTTGACTTGGGATATAAATTTTAAAAAAGGATTGCTAAAAGAGAATATGTTCCTTGAAACATGGCAAGATTTTCTGAACTTTGTATTATTGAAAGGTGAAGGCCGTCTACGCAAGGAAGAGATAATGTTATTTTGGAAGCATTATGGGGGCATCATAATCAAAACTTTGGAAGAAAGATATCTCTACTAGTCCCAGTGATCGGTATACTAATTTCAGATATATATTTTCTTAATTGTGTTAAGATATGTGTATTTTCCCCCTCCTTCTTTGTTAGTTTTTTCCTATGTTATTTTGTATATTGTAATAATGTTAATTTAAAAAAAGAGCTGGTTCATAGAGACGTAAAACCACACAGTCTTCCTGTGCCCTGGGAGTCAAAGGGGCAAACCTTATTCTCTATTAACTGCTTGATAACTGCTGTGGTTGCTGTGCCATTAAGAGGGAAGAGGGAGAAGGCAATTCAGGGCTCTGTTTGCGTGTTCGGGGCCTAGCTGTCCTCCCTAACTATTGCTCTCTGCATTACTTGGTGCATATAATCAGACTCCGATTTTATGTAGGTCTTTCAGTGTCAACCTTCGAGCTGCACTTCAGGTATCTCAGGTGAGAAGAAACATACAGGTACATGCATGCTACTAGGCTGGGGGCGGAGGCAATCCTTATTCCTGAACAGTACACAAGCAACTCAGCCCAAAGCTCCTGCTGGTGCAAGAGCCAAGGAAGTGTGGCCTTCTGGATGTTGTTGAACTGCAGCTCCCATTAGCCCAAGTCAGCATAGTTGTTGGTGAGGGATTGTGGGAATCGGAGTACGACAGTATCCCGAGAGTTGCACTTTCCATTTCTGCTGGGCTGGTATTGAAAGCTCACTTCTAGGGGGGCCTATTCAAAAGTCAACCCTGTACTCTGAAGGGCGCCAGATTACTGATTGCTTAGAATCAAACCCCACTATAATGTTAGGTGTCTTAATGTTTCAGATAATTGCTCGGAAGCTAATTGCTAGGGGAGCGCCAGGTGCAATTGTGAACGTCTCAAGTCAGGCCTCCCATCGGGCTCTGTCTGATCACACCGTTTATTGTGAGTATAACTGCCCCCCCCCCCCCCATATTTGCCTTCCCAAGAACGCTCAGGTGGGAACTGCAGTCATCTGACTGACTGTACTGTGAACTTTGGCTCAAGCCACACTTCTTCAGGACCGTCATAGATGTGTGAGTGGAATTGGCCTTGCAGTGGGGGAGGGTAGCAGAAGAGGAGGCAAAAACATCACACACTAAAACAGCTTGTTTCGTTGAAGGTTCCACCAAGAGTGCTTTGGACATGCTGACAAAGTCAATGGCTCTGGAGCTGGGTCCCCATAAGGTAAGAACTTAATAGCAGGTTAATTGGGAATGGAGAAGGTCTTGATTTGCTAGCTTTATGCTGTCTTTGATCTGATTTACTTTATTATATGGTTTTTGTCTTGTTTTGTTTTATTGTTTTACCTGTATGGATTTGGCGGTATAAAAATTAAAGAAACAGACAAACAAACAAACGGCATGCTTCTTCTTGTGCAGGGCAGGCAAAGAGGGGAAACAAAATGAAACAACGCGCAGAGGAGGGTATACTGCTTCACTGGGGGCAGGGGAGACATATAATCCTTCCCACGGTGCCTCCATAAGGGTCCCTTCCAGCTCTGCAGTTCTAAGAGTATTATTGTTCTGTTACTGCACTACCAATCCCAAAAGTCCAGCCTGCACAACAGATGGGAATTGTTGTCTAACAACATCCCCCATCACTGATTCAGACCTAAGAAGTGAGTCAAAGCCAAATGTATCCGTGCACACAAGTTGGAGAGTTAAGCTCTGGTTCTTTTTTGACAAGCAAGCAAGAGGTGGAACATAGTAAAGTCTTGAAGCTGGAGTGGATGTTCTGCTCTTGTGCATGGCCTAAGCCTGCCTTATTTCTCTTCTACCCTGTCCTTGCTGTTTAAGATTCGAGTGAACAGCGTGAACCCCACCGTTGTCATGACTAAGATGGGACGCCTCAACTGGACTGATCCTCAGAAAGCTGGACCTATGATTAGCCGCATCCCATTGGGGAAATTTGCAGGTAATTTGGAGGGTAGGCTCCCTTTGCCGAAGGGCAAGAAGAGGCTTAAGTAGATTTAGAAATTTGGCAGACAGTACAACACAGTGTGATTGAAGGAGGCTAAGCCTGGGGCTGGACTAACGTGGCACTTGAAAGTGGAGCATTCAGACCCAGGCCTGTAGTTTCCCAACCAAATGTTGCCTCTTTGATCTTGGAGGTCCCTCCATCAATCTTTGGTCATTGTGATTACAGAGGTGAACGATGTGGTGAACAGCATCCTTTTCCTGCTGAGCGACCAAAGCAACATGACCACAGGTGCCATGCTGCCGGTTGATGGGGGATTCCTTGCTTGCTGAAAATCTGCCTGGGCATCAGTCCCTGAAGAAAGGTCTCTCCTTGGTGTGTCTTCTCATCCTGCAAATACTGGAACGAGACACCGTAAAGGAAGAAAAGGAGCAAGGGCCAGTTCCATCAAGGAACTGGTGAAGATGAGAGATTTTTTTTCCTCCTGGTCTTAAACATAAACAAACCACACCTCCTTACTTATGGAGAAATGTTTATTGTATAAAATAAGAGGTGTTCAGCTCATCACTCTACACGATGATTTTAAAAACTGGACCCGTCTCCATCCCAACCCCTTCAAAGCTCTCCCTGCTCCATCCCCCAGTCCATCAGTCCTGACAAAAGGAAGGGGTTGGCCATCACCCTCCCACCTCCACTTTTTTTTTCTTTTAATTTCCTTTTTCTTTTTCTCAAAATCTTACAGAAAGGTTCCTGCTGTGTAGCCCCGCTCTGCCCTGGGCCGGGCACGGCGAACAAGACCTCCTTCCTCTTCCCTGTCTTTGGGAGAGTTGATGGTCAGTAAACCAGCTTAGGAGCTGCGCACAGGCTGGTGCCCTGGAAGGCCAAAGACAGCTTTGGATGGCACAGAAGCTGCTCTGATCATTTAAGCTCGGCTATTGTCTCACACAATAAAGCACTAATGGCTAGTTCTGAAACCTGCGTCCATATTTGTCTTTCCTGCCGCCCGCCCCCCCCATATCAACTGGGGTTCGTTATCTGCTCCCAACTGCAAGCCTCTAGCACCAATAGAAGTAGTAAGAAAGGGCTGGTCTCTCCATCCACTCGTTACCCCCCTGGCATGGAGTCATGGGGAGCATGCTCCTCCCCCAATGCTCCGCCCTGGGGGTGGGACAACATCGAGCTCCTCTTTTATCTCCCATGCGGCCCTTTTTTTTTTTACATCGACACAGACGTTAAATCAAAGAGACATTTAAAAAACACTGACTTCATACATGATGAAGGGCCCCGCCCACTCCCGTTGCGGGAACACCCAGCGAACGCTCCCTCCTTGCACACACACGCAAGGAGGAGACACACCCATAACATGCTGAACTCAGATGCCCTTAGAACATGGTGCACTTCTTGCCAGGCTTCTTCACAGGTGGAGGACAGAGCACAGCCCGGATGGCTTCATCAAAGACCGTCTTGAGGCCTCTCTGTGTAAGAGCAGAGCATTCGAGGTACTTCACTGAACCTGTGGGAAGCAAAGAGAGGGTGTAATTGGGCAGGCAACTGTTAATTTCTCACTTTGGCCTCAGCCACTATCAAAATTCTAGAACCTTATTACGTTTTTTCTTTCTTCCAAGCAATACTAGTTTTCATGAGAAAGAGAGAGAAAAGGAAAACCTTGCAAACAGCGGTCCTCTGAATGTAGTTGAGAAGTAGCAACTCCTATCAGGTCTAGTCAACACAGCCAAATGGTGAGGAATGATGGGAAATGCAGTCCAGAAGTATCGGGAGGGCTCCATATTTCTCCCCCCTGCTTTGGCCTCTGTTTCTAAGACTCACCAATTTCTCTGGCCATGGCTAGACCTTGAGGGTAGGTGATGGGAGCCAGCTTCTTGTCACGCAGCCTCTCAATGGTATCCTTGTCATCTCTCAGATCCAGCTTGGTACCCACCAAGATGATTGGTGTGTTGGGGCAGTGATGTCGGACCTCTGGGTACCACTACAAATTAGAGGAACATTGGAGTGAATCCCTTAATGGTCAGCTTGGGAGTTAGGATACAGAGGTGCTTCGACTTACAATCATAATCCGTCCCAGAAAATGGTCGTAAGTCGAAGCACCATTTCCCATAGGAATGCATTGGAACGGGATTAATCCATTCCAGCAGAAAAAGAAATCACACACACAAAAACAACAACAACCCACAGTCAGCCCCATTGGAACGTGATGGGGCTGGGGGAAAAACACAAAAACAACCCCCCACACACACACGCAACACAGAAATATAACCCCCCAATCCATTCTGCAAAGCAAAGCAAATGTACTTACTCACGAGCAGAAAGCAGCACCAAAGCCGGTACTTACTCACGAGCAGAAAGCAGCACCATGCAGTCCAAAGCCGCCTCCAATGCACACACTCTAACCGTTGGGGTGAAAGAGCTACAAAGAAGCTCTTCGCCGACCAATGGTTTAGCCCTCTAATTTGAATTCCCCGCCTTTTTCCCCTGCCTGATCGCAACTCAAAGCTCCGGCCGCAAGTCAAAGCAACATTTTGTGGCTGGAGCTGGTCGCAACTCGGAATGGTCGTATGTCAGGACGATCGGAAGTCAAGATACCACTGTATTAGAATCAAGATGGTACCCAAGCCAAATGGCCATGCGGAGCAATGTGCCTGGCTAAAGTTAAGAGATGTTCTTAGAAAAGAAGAGACAGATCCTCCTCCAGGGCACACTGGTGGCTTTTAATCTTGTTCTTGAAGCATCACCCACCAGCTCTGGTGAGCAAAGAGGAGGAAGACATTCTCTGTTGACTATGGCATGGATGTTGCTAATAGGTTCACCCAGCATGGCCATTTCCCCATGCATATGAGAAATATATATGGGAGAGGGTTTATTACCTTGGCTCGAACATTTTCAAAGGAAGCTGGGCTGACCAGTGAGAAGCAGATCAGGAAAACATCCTACAGGAATAAAAACATCAATCAAGAAAGTGATTTTTGCACCTACACAGATCAAATGTTGTTGGTTTCTCAAATCCATTTTTCTCTCTCAGTCCAGATCTCACTCTAAACCTTAAAATTTACCATATTTTAGTAAGAGGGTATGTAATACAGGATTAATTTACACTAAAATGGCTGAAGGTTTTCAACAAACTTGACTGATGCAAAACATGAAAAAAATGCAGAAGAGAATTTATGAGAGCGGACTGGCTGCCTGAGGTAAAGGCACCATGATTCAAGCCCAACTCGTACCTTCAGGCAAATGCCTGAATCAAACTGTACAACAGGGAAGAACCTCAGGACTTACTGTCTGTGGGTAGGAAAGAGGCCTCAGCCTGTCATAATCTTCTTGTCCTGCTGTGTCCCACAAGCCCAGATTGACTGGCTTTCCATCTACCATGACGTTGGCCGAATAATTATCAAACCTACAGGATAAATATTTCTGTCAGCGATAGCCCTTCAAATACACTACATTCTCAAAATCAATTTGTTTCATCTTAAACTAGCCATGTCACAATAGACTTCCTTTCTCTAGTTCTCTTTGGACAACCAGTAACTAGGTGCCAGTCCAAATTTTAAATTTTCATCTTCTCAGTTGTCTAGCTTTGCATATTTGAGCCCCAACACACTTAAATGAGTTCTGTGGTATAAACAAAGAGAAACAAACTGAGGTAAAACACAATGGCTGAAATCCTGTTGCTTAGCATAGCAAATCACGCTATGGTAGACCTGTTGAAGCAGTGGGGACGTGATGAGTCAGCTTCTCTGTAAATTCTGTTGATCTGAATGGTTACACTCTAATTGTTACTTGCTACTCTACATAAGCAAGCAAGAGGATTTCAGCTACTATCTCCCTCATATATTCAAAACCTTGCAGTACATACACTGCCTTCTTCACACTAGTTCTTTCTGATTTCCTTATTGCAGATGTTTTATTTTTAGTATTTCACTGTCTAAAAACTGAATACAGATACATAATCAGCCAGAAGCAGAATTAAAAGGGATTCCATACAAATTGCAAGTATTGATATCCTGTTGAAGAACACAGTTGCAGAAGGGCTAATGTTATAATTCTTCCGCCAGGTCCTGAAAGCCCTCCTTTGCGTGCCCAACTGCACATTTCCTGCATGATCTGGCACATGATTGGGATTGCTGGAGTGAGGGGAATCCTGGTCAAATAGCCTTACACCTCCAAACGTCCATTATTTTATCCAGCAGTGCCGATCCTTATAGACAAAATCCTTCTACCATATTTACTCAGAGGTTAATCCCATTCAACAAATATCTATGTAACATTAAAAGTTTCCAACCTGCAGCTTTCTCTCTCCTTCTCTCTTTGTTGCATGGTGTGATTACTAATAAACAGGCTGCTAAATGCCTCTTGAGTAGCTTTTTTTGAACTGCCTCCTTTTGCCTAGGTCTTTCTCCAGAGATGATTTTAATTACAGTGCTCTCTCCAAATATGTGTATACTTCCAGCTGACTGCAGAAGAGCAATTCCTCCGTAGCGCTAAAGCGCTTTAGTACCGAAGAGGCCATAGCCAATCTGTGTATTTCATTCCAATAAATTATTTAACAATTACTTACTGTGTATATTAAATAACCTTAAAATCAATCCGTTCAGACTGTTTGGGACTCTCTCAGCTAGAGGACGGTTAAATCATGTAAATAAGCTGAATCAAGTTGATATTTTCCATAGTGAAAATATGACAAGGCAGCTTCTGGAAGGTTACTGGATTAAAAAAAGAGCCAGGACTCTTTTATGCAACATTGCAACGGAGAAGCCCGAGCACAGTGCAGCATGCAATCCCCCTGCAGACTGTCTTGTGCAGTGAGCACACAAGTCATATTTGAGCTGTGTATGAAGACACACTGGGGAGCAATAGCTAATCTTGGCTTCCCAGTAGATGTGTATGTCACATCTAAGTCACAAGTAACAATCTTCCACATGGTTGAGTAGACCGTTCCCCATGGCTGGAAGCTGTCAGATTTGAAGCATCCCTGAGAGTACAAATCTTTCAATACCCCAAATCTCAGGATCCCAGGGTAGGACTCTCACAAACTGCCGTGCCCTTGTTTGCCTCTTCCCCCACGATTATGCACTGCAGCCTGTGCCTTGATCCACTAATACTCACACAGTGGGGATGTACTCTCCAGGGAAGGCATTTGTCGTGTAGCTGATCAACAGACATGTCTTCCCCACAGCCCTGAAAAAATGAAAGCAGAGCCATAACTCATAGACACAGTAGGGTAATTGGGGCCAAGGGTTGGAGGAGGGGGAGGGGGGAAAAAAGAGATGCCGGTCTGCCCCCAGTCCCAGGTCACTGGACCAGACCTAGATTTCTGTGTGTGCATTTTATGTCCCTAGTGCACTTAAGACTTCAGTAACAATTTTGTCTGTTCTTCTGTGGGGGAGGAAGCATGCTTTGTATTACTTCTTCAGCACACCTCGAACCCCAGCTCATAATAAACCAAGTGAGAGTTTACGAGTTAAACTACCATGACACATGCAAAAAGTTTAAAATTCAGCAATAATCAAGGAGTACACAGGTAAGGGCATCTAAAGGTTCAGTGCCTTCGTTTTGTGTGCTAGCATTCATTTTTATTTTCCACCTGATCTTCCAATTAGCATAAGCAGCTCATTCTTACTGACTGAACCATGAGGGACATAACCTTGTATGTGATCCTGCCATTACCTTACTTTATTTGTACTGTATAAGTGATTTATACACCCTTTTCTCCCAGGAATAGGATCTTCCTTGCAGAGAGACATATAGTTTCCTCCCATTGCTGATTCTTAACTACTTCCCAGAGAGGCAGGGATGGCAAAAGATGGCTTTGGTATGTCAAAAAATGAAGTCCTTGGTGTTAGGTCTTTAAGAAGAAATGTAATTAACAATTGGTTAGTGCAGGTGGAGTTATTTAGTCACTTCCTACCTGACAAGAAGGACACAGCCAAGTGGAATTAACCACCATGAGATGAATCACTAATTTGATTGGTTGGAGGTAGTATAAATTAAGAGGCTGGGTAGTGTGCCCTTCACAGTTCTATTTTGACTGTCATGTTTATGTTCTGTTTGTTTGACTGCTGAATGCTTATGTTCCTGTGAGTACTATGTAAATATGTACAGTAAGTAAATATTCTCTGCACATAATCCTGGTGTCTTCCTGTGTGCCTTACTATGCTGGAGCTTCTGGTCCCAACTTTCGTAAGGAGAAAATCTTCTGCTGTGACTTTAAATGCTAAACACTTGGGACCAGACCTTAGATGCCTGCCACAAAATAGTCAGGGAGGGGGACTGGACTGTGTTGTTAGCTCTCAACCGGATTGTCTCCTATTCTAGTTCCATCTCACTGTAAATCTCCCACACACTGCATTCTCTAGCCAAACTTTGCAGTCACTTTACAGAAGTTGTTCACCCCAGAATTCTTCATGCATTCTGAATCTACAGTCTGTTGCAGCAAAAGGAGTCCTTGGACTCTTTAACTGCTACAAGTTTATTTAGGTTTACAGCATTGTGGGGGCTGCGACTGGAACCATTAAAGAAGTAATCTGAAGATGTCCGCTGCTGTCTTTAAAAAGCTTATGCCAAACACAAGGTGTGAGTCTTTTGAGATTGCCACAGGATTGTGTTGGGTTTTTCTGCACCAAATTCCTTGTTGTACAAAAAAAAAACTCTACTGTGTGGTCCAGTCATTTCAGGCCTCGTCCTGTCTTCCAGGAGGGGCCACCTTGCCAAACCCTCTTTTCACACATCCTTCTCGTGGCAGACAATTTACCACACAGACACACACACACCCCTGCAGGAACTCTCAAGAGGATCTTCTAGGGGCCTGCTCTTAAAGTCAGCAGGTTCAGCTCAGGATCAGGACCTCTGTCCCTGGGTGCCGGGAAACTGCCTTTTCCCATCCCGCTGGGGAAGCGCGGCCGGGGCCACATCCAACCTTCCCACTTGAACCGGGAAGCGCGTCCTTCCTTTCCCACCGTTACGAGAACCAGCCTCACAGATCCTGCACTCGCCACAATACCACCGCACCCGCCCGGGCCTTGCCTCCCATTGCCACGGCGGGAGGGAGGGCGAAGTGTGCGTGTGCGTGTGTGTGTGTG